CATTTAACTTTAAAGAAACCCACCACTACTCCAGAGGAGAGCCGAAAGCGCACCATTTACCAACTAATCAGCAAAGAACAGCAGTATGCCACCTGCCTGCAGTTCGCCATCACCAGATTCGTATCCGCATTGGCAGAGAGGCGGGACTTGCTGACCGCTTCCGAGCATAAAGTGTTGTTCCAAAACTCCGAAGAGGTGATTGATTGGACCAAATAAGCCGCTAGTTGATTGCACGTGCATTTGCAGATACTGCGGATAACTGAAGATATCTTGGACCATCTGGTGCATGAGGATGGGGAAATGGATGCGAGCATACTGAGCAGAGTCTATCGGTGCAAACTGCACGAAATTACTTCGGCCTATAAAAGATACTGTTCGGGGATTAAGAAGGCTGATTGCGTCCTGGCCAATAAGATGAAGAACAGCAATTCGGATTTTGTCAAGTAAATGCAACGCAAACCAGTGGAGGGTTGGATGAATGGTGGCTTTTTTGCTGCAGGTTCATCCAGTGCCCGGCCATTCCCAGAAGGCGACCGGACCTTACCACTTTCATCCACAAGCCCTTGGAGCATTATCGCGAAGCGCTAAAGATTCTCATGGCCATCCAGGGCCACACGCCACCAAAACACGAGGATTTTTCCGCGATTGGTCAGATTGTCCATGAAATGCAGGTAAGCGCCCAAAGAACCCACCTGCAAATGCTGCATCTTCCCTATTTAGGTGACCTACAGGGAAATTACTTCGGAAGGAGGGCTGATGGAGCCCTGCGGGGAAGGCCGCCCGTTACTCTCGGTCCAGGACCTGGAAAATCGCCTGGTTTTCACCAAATGCAAGGTAGAAGACCTGCAGATTTTCCTACCAGGGGCTCATGGGGGTTTGATCTTCTCCAGCCCTTTGTGCTCAACAAACCAGGACGCCAGTGGATTTTTGGGGGCGACTTGGGGCGAGTAGAAGGCCGGAACGTCCGCCAATACTGGACCTTGCTCTTCAGTGACCTCATCCTATTCGCCAGAGCCTCTAGGGATCGGGTTCTATTTATCACCGAAGATCCGCTTCCTCTAGCTCATGTTACTGATATTGTTTTCAACGTTAGGAAAAAGGGTTTGTTCGCTTCTGCTAATGACTGGGGAAAGATTTATTTTTATTTTTTTCGTGCAGATACGGAGTTTAGAATATGCACCAATTCGGATGCCAAAAGGCAGGCCACCAGTCCCACCATCCACTGCGGCCCCGATCTGAGTCGGACCCCGAAGAAGAGCTCCTGCAGAAAAACTGTGATTTTGCGCGCGCCCACCATGGAGCTCAAGGCGGTCTGGCAAAATTTACTGCAGAGGCAAATGTAAGTGGGTTTTCACTGTTTTACTGCTCCAGGGAGTTGAATTGCTATCCTCGCGTTTATAGGAGGTTTTATAGTGCTTTAGCTGCAGAATCAGGCCAAAGTGCCGGTTCGATGTTTCTTAGAAAAGAACCTAGTTTTTCTTAGTGTTAATAGCACTTAGATTAGGATGGTTTTTCTTAGGAATAGGCGAGTTTGGGAAGATTTCAGATTCGAAGAAAACCGCCGGAAATTTTGCGCAATTTGCTGCACTGATACAGGGTGACCCATGGATATGCGCTCGAAAACTCCCTTCTCTTTTTTACAAACTTTTTGCTGGGTATTTGGCCTCAAAAATGTTTGTCTTTAAAAAAGACAGAATTTCCTCATCTCGCACTAATCGACGCAATTTCGGAAATATTTTACGAGAAGGGAGTTGTAGATAAGTTCTATATTGTTGAGGCGGAAAATTTGCCCCTCGAGTCCATATTCCAGGGCCACCATGTACCGGAACCGAAACTAGGTTTACTAATGAGATCCTGCGGCTTTTCCGTTAATACTGCAGAGGATCTCACTAAAAAAATAGATTTTTTGCATTTCCGCAAGCAGCCTCCACCTAAATGCCGGTTTGGATGGAAGCGCACTTAGTTCCCCCATGGAATCGCCGGAGGTTCCCATCAACTCTTCGGTGGGCACTTTGCAGTCGGTTGAAACGAGCTCCATGCGACGTCAGGTGCGTCTACTACATGGCAATATGGCCTTTTTTCACCCCTCGGCAACATATCCAAATGAACACAATCCCCATGAACCCCCATCCCCCCAGAACATCAACACGTCCTGTCGGGTGCGAGTCTCTTCGGATGAAGTTGAAAGCGTCTTCAGCGGGCATGAGGATCTGGCCTCGTCTGAGGTCCTGTTGGAGGCCTTTGAAGAGATCCAGCTGGGGGAGGAAGCCAGCTCCCATCGCTCCCCAATCGTTTCCACTAATTCCACGGCGTTTCTCTCCTCGGGCAAGGGTTCTGTTGCCACCTCCACTAGGCCAGTTTGGTCCAATAAGAGCTCGGAGACTCCCAGCACTTTGGACTCTTCGTCCTTCTACAACCGAAGCCCTGTTGATGAGGTGTTTGATTCGGGTGATCTTCCCAAGTTGTCTTTGGGCCAACCAGCGAGTCCCAGTGCGATTTTGACTCCCAGCAGCGAAGTCTCTGACCAATCAGGCAGCAGCTACGACTTGCGGGACGACTTTTGGGACGTGAGTCAGTTTGATTACGATTTGAGCAGTTTGAATATCGATGGCATGTCCCAGCTGAGTGGCAATTTTAATTTTTGATGCGCGCTCAAAAATAGTTCTCGTCTGCAATAATTCCCAGCCTGAACTAGTGATTGGTTGCCCCTCCTTTCCAAGTTCCGGCTCCCTGCCTTTCCATGGCCAGCCCCTCCTAGAGACTACATAGCTGATATTGTTAATAATTTTTTTATTCGAATGAATCAAAAAGTGCCTTTTTGCGAACAGAAGCGATGATAAAAAAGAAGCACTTTTCTTTAGCGTTCGTTTGTTTTACTTTTACGCACGGACTTTGCCGCACAGTGTGCGACAAAGTAAATGTGACACTTTGAACTTGCCACTGTCATTATATATTTTTTAGTATTTTTATTTAAAAATAACCGAAATGCGTTTTTAGGGAATTACGTAGGTTCATCAACAACTATTGATCCTATTTTCAAGTTTACTTACAATTTGTAAATTGTACCTTTGTTACAAGTTCAGTCTCATAATCGTTTTAATGGCCTACTTATCTACTTTGGCGATGTTGTCACACGTAAAACACGATCTTTTTAAGAAGCGCAAATGGCATGCAGAGTATGCAACATGCATACACCATCCCAAGACCACAGGTGCTTCAAGTTGAAAAAGTACTTAAACTTAATTACAAACTTCAAAACATGACATTTCAAAAAATGACATTGCCACAAAATTTTAAATATGAAATCGATGCATTT